GCATAGAGCAGCCTTCTTTGCTAGAAACATGGACGGTGGACACATAATCAGATGCTGTTTGTTCACACAAGACCCAACATTGTTCTTTTCAAACCCCGGAGACTTTGTATTCGAACCGAAGGTTAACTAAGTAAAGAAAAACATTTAAAGAAATCAAGACGAAGCAGGAAGGTACTTAATCTACAGCTGGTTTCTGGTGTATTGGCAGAATCTCCGAAAACGTCTGGAATGCAGTTTGTTAACTGTCGGCTTGTATGTCACATTCAGACTCCATGACCTCTTGCGCGTGCCAAGGTCAGCGCTAGATCATCTGGGACCGATTTCACAATCCCATACCATCATAAACCGAGTCATGAACGAATGCATTACTAAAGGGTCAAAAATCATTCAAGCGCTGAGGCTTTGAATCAGGTTTCTTGCTATAGATCTACACCGACCAGGCATAACATAATGACCACCTCCTTGTTTCTACGCTCACTGTCCATTTTATCAGCTCCACTTACTATATAGGTGCACTTTGTAGTTCTACAGTTACAATTACAGCAGTGCTGCTGGAGTTCTTAAAACAGTGTCCACTCACTGTCCACTCTATTAGACACTCCTACCTTGTCGGTCCACCTTGTAGAGTCAGAGACAATAGCTCATCTGCTGCTGCACAGTTTGCGTTGGTCATCCTCTAGTCCTTCATCAGTGGTCACAGAACGCTGCCCACAGGACGCTGTTGGCTGGATATTTTTGGTTGGTGGACTATTCTCAGTCCAGCAGCGACACTGAGGTGTTTAAAAACTCCAGCAGCACTGCTGTGTCTGATCCACTCAGACCAGCACAACATACACTAACACACCACCATCACATCAGTGTTACTGCAGTGCTGAGAATGATCCACCACCCAAATAGTACCTGCTCTGTGAGGGTCCATGGGGGTCCTGACCACTGAAGAACAGGGTAAAAGGGGGCTAACAAAGTATCAGAGAAACAGATGGACTACAGTCTGTAACTGTAGAACTACAAAGTGCACCTATATAGTAAGTGGAGCTGATAAAATGGACAATGAGCATAGAAACAAGGAGGTGGTCATAATGTTGTGCCTGACCAGTGTATATTTTTTAAAACTTCGGGACTTAATCTGGAAGTGGTTGCTATCCTTTAGATCATGTGGTCATTATATGACCAACAGACATGGTCCAAAAACAGCTGATTATAACTTCTGTAAAATGACGACTTTGGAGATAGAAGGCTGTCTTACCACAGTGACGACCTGGGAGAAAATACTGCAGTCCAATACTATTAAATGGTCATTTTTGGAACGATTTCAACAATTTCAAACACGACTACCAGCTAACTTTTTAAAGTGCTTCTCGATGAACCTTGTCACCTTATCATGAACACATTCCCAAAGTGGAATTACTGAACCACGGCCGCCTCAAACGCTGGAATTATAGCTACTAACAGAGTAGAACATACATAGTGAGCCAGCTCTGAAAAACCACTTGACAAGTCAACATAAAATAGGGCTGCACAATATTACCTTTAGGTTATTCAGCAGACGCTCTGAATCACATGACAGCAGAAGGTGAATCCAGAGTTAGGAGTCTAGTCCAAGGACTCTTATTGGTATAGCCTCATGCTGCGTTTACATGTTGGCAGTAGACAGACTGCAGCAAACCAGAGACTCTATAGTTTTGCTGCCGACCAGAGGAAACATCCCGCAGATCATAGCGATAGGCTGGACCTTCCATCAAGAATTCAGTTTGCCCAACTTTTGCTGTCGGCTACAGCGGTGAAATAAACCGGACGCTGATTTTTTTTGGCAGGAAAGCCAAACGTCAGAGCCATTGTTGAATTCTAGACAAACCCAGTATTACACAACAGTTCCTGCCTTATTTTCCAAAACAATCCACAAAGGATGATTATTTAAGCAGTAGAACCCGAGAGGGAGTGTGTCATCGCGAAATAACATCACGGCTGTGATTTGGTCGCCGTAGATCATCACAGCCGTGATGTTATTGGCAATAACACACTCCTCGAGTGTTCTACTGCTTTAATACAACAGTTAAATAAATAAAGTAATAAATTAATAAACTGGGCCGTGAACGTGGCGTTTAATATGTTTTAATGTTCGCAGTTCCTTCACCAAATTATAGTTCCTTAACGAGCAGCTTGTTGCTACGTCAGAGTAACGAGCTCCGCCCACTCGCTGCACAGCCGGCAGTTCGTTCTCCAGCTCCACACAGACCAACTGACCGTTTGGGAATTTAGTCTCATCTTCAGAGTCTGACCAAATCGGCTGTCGGTCGTAAGTAAGAAGTAAAAACGTTTGAATGTCATCAATCATCCTTTGTCGCCACTAATGTTGTCATCATGCCAACGTTTGCCTGGCCTTGTCACTCCTTTGGTCACATACGGTGGGCATCGACCGTTTTTTCAATGTAAACGTGAACGCAGCGTTCGAGTTCTCCGAATCCTGGGCTGCTGAGTGGAACAAACTACACAATACTAAACATTATACTGTTTGTTAGCCGTCGCAATACTGATTTTGCAGAACGCTACAAGACGCAAATGTGATCTTTAGCCAGTCTCAATGTGCTGTGAGCATCTGAGTGTCTGTGGGTGTTTTCGTTACAGCTTCTACCAGCAAAAGTCGTTTATATTGGTAAAAAAATTTTTAAATAAAATCAAAATGGCCCAGTCTTTAACGTGTCACTTCACTGATTCACCAACGCTTCTTTAACATACTGCAAAGTGGAACAACATAAACACCATACTAGTACTTTGCTCATATCGTGCAGCCCCGTTCTTCAATTTGTAATTTCAGGATTACAATCAATGACAGAATGAAGACTGACTCACTCTTTGAAAATAGAGCTGGAAGCAAATTTCGTAAGCTTGTTCTTTCTCTACTAGTAACTTTTTTGCATGTTTTAGGCTTCATTTCTTAGGAGAAACAGTCGTATTATTGTGTCATGGTTGCAGTAGTTTTGGTAAAAAAAATGAATAAATAAATAAAAAAAAATAAAAAAATCAATAAAACTAGGAACTTCTGATGAGATTAGAGTTTCCTCAAACTCCACTTTTGGCTACAAATGCTCATGTGGAAAGACCACCGGTGTCCATTTATTCTGGCAAGACGGTGCTCATTTTGAAGCATATATCAACTGAACTGAGAGAGTAACGGCCTTCGCAAGCCTCGTGAATTTTCATAACAAAAACAAACCCTTGGCATGTTTGTGCTTTGAGACTACATCGTCACTGTTTTTAAGCCTCTGTCACAAATCTGTTTACAGCAAACTTATAACACATTCCTACTGGTTCTGAATGTTTGGGCCTTTCAAATGGCTGGTTTTCCCCAAATGCAGCCATTCCACCCCACCGTGCCCCCAAATGTGGGGTTATGATTCTGGGTACAAACATACAGACATACAGGGAGATTCACTCGAAAGAGGCCCCGAATATTCTGGAATAACTCTCGCTGGGATGAAGCAATCTGAATGAAGCAACGGGCAATGTGCTCCTCAGTATATGGAGCTTCGAACAAGCCGGGATGCCCCGATGAGGTAGGCACCAGACAGCCGTCGCAACGTTTAACCTCTGTTTGCAACTCCCCGGTGCAGACCCCCGTACCCCTTCATGTGCCTGGCAGAAAACAGAGATCACTTCCAGCATCGCATGTAATGCAATCGATTACATACGACAAGGTATGTAGTGTATTCTTTTGGTTCAGATTGCTTCATCCTAACGGGAGTTACAGCAGAATATTCGGGGCCTCTTTCGAGTGAATCTCCCTGTATTATTCAGAGCTTTGAATAGGTTCTTTTTGTCTTTGACTTGGCATTTCAGGGCTCATTTTGAGAAACGAATAGCTTACTAGATACTAGCATTCTGACTTGTACTTGGACAATAACAGAGCTGAGCTCCCGAGTGGCCAGTCATCTAAGAGTTGGATCTATCGGGACTTGGTGAGGCCCCAGCCATCCGTGCACGGGAGTCCAAGAGCATAACCGGCCTCTTCGCGGGTAGGATGGTCAAAAATAGGAGGACAAAAGTCACCCACTCAAACATCTGAAAGTGTTCCAACAGAAATATTTCTTTGTATAACCTTGTTCTTTGTTCCTCATCCTCCTTTCTTTCTGCCTCTCCCCCAGTAACTCCCTTCAGCTTAGTCTTGCAAGGCTAGATGTGGTCTGGTAACGAGGACACATGTCTGGGGACAGCTAAAACTTTGCTGGACGACAGTGAAATCTCCCACTAACTAGGGTACGACGCACCCTCCAAAACACGCCTACAGATTCCTCTAGTCCATGATGCTTTAATGTCCAGAGTACAGTCAAGCAAAACAAGCTACCCTGCAGAAATTACAAAAGGTGGCTTACATTAGATCACATCCATGGGCTAACAACAATCTGACAGCGCTGACGAGCCCCGCAACCCCCCCTACTTTGAGCTCCGCCTTCCTGAGACATCGGACTGATTTCGAAATTTCATGTTCAGTTTCCCACATTTAGCCCAAAATTTCTCATGGCTGTCCCCAGTTGTTCTCATTACCATGAGATCACGTCTGGCTCTGCGAGATTCTCTTCAGTCCCCACCTGAGACAAATAACAGGACATCTATAACGAGGGGATCAAGAAGTCATGAGACGCTAAAATTATTAACTGTAAATGCTACTAATGTGAAACCTCCCACTGTGGCTAAATGTTTTGGCTTCAGACAGATCAAGTAAGGTGGAGCTGACTGTTCACATACATTCTAAGAGGTCAAACTGTTTCTCTGCAAGACAAGTTTCTCTAGACATTCGGACAGACACGAAGCATGTGCGGAGATAATATTGAATATGTTGAGTTATTCAGTTTGTATTTGTGTGTAATGCATATATCAGTCGTTCTAAACCAGGTATGGGGACGCGTGGTACAATCTGTCAGGAACAAAGGCACTGGAAAAGCTCTAAAACGGACGTTAGACGCTCCAGCATTCAGAAAAATACAAATCTAAAAAACATACTATATTTGGACGTCTGTTTTTTTTTGTTTTTGGAAAATAAATCTGCGAAATTGTTTAGAAAAATCTCTCGCGCTTTCACCACGATTTGTACGATTCTTACAAAAAATACTTAAAAGAAAAAGTCAGACTAAAGGTTCAGGCTGTTTGACATAGTTTGGCGGTTAATTAACCCTTAAATTACATGAACTTGGTCTTGAATATTCAGATTCCTGAATACCAAGCTTAACACACTCTTGGCAGAAGCTGGTATCTTGGCGCTACAGTAGAGAGCAGCAAAACATATCCAGTTGTGAGAGGCTGTGCTCTACGTACATCGTCTTTGAGGGATGTTGAAATGCTTCAAAATAAAGTTCAAAAGGAATATACGCGTCACAGTGCTCAGCCAGTCGTATAGGGGTTGATGGGATACGTAGTCTCGCTCCCTTTCTCAGAGTCTCACAGAGCTCCAGCCCATCAGGCGCCGTGGTCAGGTCAGCGGGACTCCAGCCTGCTATACAGCACCCGGCTCCCCGGCAACGAGCGCCACGGCAAAGGCATCGGCACCGGCAGCTGATAATTGCGAGGCACGATGCCGTGAACGTTCTGCTCAAAGTATCGGAAGAGGCAGAACCACCAGACTCGAGAGAATGGGTTCCCCTGGGACGTCTGCTTAAGAAACTGCAAAACACAGAACATGGGAATGTCACTTAAATCGATGGAACAAGGGCAACACTGCAAAACAGCTAAATTCAAAGTACACGATCTGATTACAGATTCAGAGCGAGCGTTAAATTTACACTTCGGTGTTTTCCAGTCTGACTCTAAGCACATTCATCAAAGAAGGCTATGGGCAACGCTTTAACCCTAAGGCCCAGTCCAATTTCTTCTTTCGAGAGTCACCCTAGCTCTTAAAACTGAGTTACAAGCGGTAGTGGTTGAAATCTTCCCTACGAAATGGGACCCTCAAATTTAAAAAAAAAAACATTCATTAACAGCTACCAGCGCTGCTCTGTAGGCGACCCGGCCCGTCTTCAGTGACAGCAGAGGAGGGTAAAGTTCAGCTCCTCACTGCTGGGCTTTAGTTACATTTAGGGCATCATATGATCTTCAAAGAGGGGGGCAATTATTTATTATCACCCACCCCTAATTCTTCAGTGATATGAAGCTGAAGTCAGATATTCACCAGCTTCTTGGTCGAATTTTCCCGTTCCACCTTAAACGGTGCAGCAGTTGCATTCTGGCGCTTCAGGTGGAACGGGAAAGTTAGCTAGATAGCTACCGAGACATTAGCATGCTATTAGCGATTTATTATGCTTGTTATGAAGAAAACGACCAAAATACACTGAAACAACATTAAACTAAGATAATACAGTGGTTATTGTAATTTTTTAAGAGAGAAAATTCTCACATTTGTGGGTTTCTTTGGTCTCTTGTTCTCCATCTTGCCGGTTTTTCTTTTTTTCTCATAACTCTCTGATTGGAGTCTCTGAAAAACCTCCGTTTGGAGGGTCATGTAGCCCCAACACTTCGCCCTCCCCCTCTATCTCAACAAACATTGGGACAACCTACCCCTAGACGTGAACACGCAGAAGTACATCCTTTTGCCATTTTAGAAGCACATGAGAAAAATTTTTGAGGCAACTGAGGTGAGTTTGGTATCTGCTTGTGTGAATGTTAGTGTCTCTCCAAAAGCGAACATAATGTCAGTGAGTGTGTTTACATGCACTTAACAATCCGATCATAATCGGATTTCTGCAGTTATTCGATTATTCAAATGGTCATGTAAACACCATAATCCAATCTAGAAATCAGAGTAAGAAATCCGATAAAGAGGCTGGATTTTAGCTCAGTAATCAGATTTCTCAGTGCATGTGAACTCTTACTCTGCTTTATTTCGTATTTCTCAGTCTGCGCATGCGCGAGATCAGACGGTGGATGTCATGAGACGCTGAAAACCATGAGGCGCTGAAACCAAACATGAAATAAAGGATTTAAATATTCTTCATCTTCTAGATGATGTGTGTTCACATTTTTCCTCAGTATGATGTTTGAGTTTTACATTACGTTTACGTTGCGTCCTCTGTGAGTTTATTGGCTGGTTGCAAAGCAGAAATCTGATTACTGCCTGACTTACGTAGACCTGGAGTTTCCCCATCATCGGATTACTCAAGTGCATGTAAACGTGTTGATCGAATTACTGACAAAATCTGATTTTCTGCAGTTATCAGATGATTGAGTGCATGTAAACACACTCAGTGGCTCATCTAAGAACAGCTTCTGTTGAGAGGACTCAGCTGTAGCTCTTTGCTTGTTAACATAGTGAGATGATAATATACTGAGAGTTGGAGACTTTTGTGTAATTTTCTGTTAAATTTATAATGTTTTACTTTTACACCGCAAGATAAATACCTTCTACTTAATGGCTGCTTAGCCTGGAAATTAAATCAACAAAAATGTAAAGTTTCCAGTTAAGGTGCAAATTAGCTTTAAGTTCTACAGTCCTACATTTTCAAATTATTATATGAAGATTTTCATTCCAAACACTAAATTCTATTGTAACAATCTGGGAAATGTTTTTTTGGAAAAAAATAACAGCTGATGTATAAAGAAAAACATATTTTTAATTTCTCTAGCAAAGATGGTCTCAATGATAATATAGGATTGATATTTTGGAACAAAACCCAAATTTATTTACTTGCTTTTTTTGGAGTGTAGTGATGATTAATTGCCTTTTAGTAAAAAATCAGGCCTGTTGGCCGACTAAGAAAAGCCATGGTTTGGGTAGAGCCCTAGTGTGTTCACAATAAGCCCCACTCACCTGCTGATTGGCCATTGTGTGATACCACCAGAAGAGGCGTGTAGTGATGAAGTATGCAACTACCACATCCACCGTGTAGTGGTCGTGAGCCAGCAGGATACAGAAAATCCCAACAGAGCTCAAACCCAGACATATCCAGTGATACCACCAAAACCTCCGTGGAGAATCTGCACACAGTACACGATTCATTTCTTCATTTCATGCTATTCTGGAAATAACACAAGCATAAAGAAACCACAGCAACTGATGTGGCAGATGTGAAGACAAGCATCGCCACTAGATGCCACTGTTGCGCATAATATGATCCAACCTAGTAAACGCACAGTCATTACTGAGCCCAGTCTTAAAGGGACAGTCAGGAACAGATTATTTTGGGGCTTCTTCTGTTGTAGCTTCAGAATAACAGTCTAATGGTCTTCATCCACCGATCCACAACAGATTCATTTTCAAAAATAAATGTGAAAGAAAGCTACTTCATCATTAAGCGCAGTGTTCATGTATGCGTGCACTCACACTCTTTAATAAAGAGGTATGTTAACGTCAGCATCACGGTGTGTCCGCTGTAAAGATAATCCCCACACATGGAGTGGGATCCGGTGATTGACAGACCACCCCCAGAGATCATCTTCATAATGCGCCTCAGCTGAGCTTCGTAGTCCCCAAACAGCTGCAAAACACAAATAAACACACAAATCAGCCCAACAATGTACTATGAAGCAGAACGGGATAACATTATGACCACCTCCTTGTTTCTGCGCTCATTGTCCATTTTATCAGCTCCACTTACTATATAGGTGCACTTTGTAGTTCTACAGTTACAGACTGTAGTCCATCTGTTTCTCTGATACTTTGTTAGCCCCCTTTTACCCTGTTCTTCAGTGGTCAGGACCCCCATGGACCCTCACAGAGCAGGTACTATTTGGGTGGTGGATCATTCTCAGCACTGCAGTAACACTGATGTGGTGGTGGTGTGTTAGTGTGTGTTGCGCTGGTGCGAGTGGATCAGGCACAGCAGTGCTGCTGGAGTTTTTAAACACCTCAGTGTCACTACTGGACTGAGAATAGTCCACCAACCAAAACTATCCAGCCAACAGCGTCCTGTGACCACTGATGAAGGACTAGAGGATGACCAACGCAAACTGTGCAGCAGCAGATGAGCTATCGTCTCTGACTTTACATCCACAAGGTGGACTGACAAGGTAGGAGTGTCTAATAGAGTGGACAGTGAGTGGACACAGTGTTTAAAAACTCCAGCAGCATTGCTGTGTCTGATCCACTCAGACCAGCGCAACACACACTAACACACCACCACCACATCAGTGTTACTGCAGTGCTGAGAATGACCCACCACCCAAATAGTACCTGCTCTGTGAGGGTCCATGGGGGTCCTGACCACTGAAGAACAGGGTAAAAGGGGGCTAACAAAGTATCAGAGAAACAGATGGACTACAGTCTGTAACTGTAGAACTACAAAGTGCACCTATATAGTAAGTGGAGCTGATAAAATGGACAATGAGCGCAGAAAAAAGGAGGTGGTCATAATGTTATGGCTGATCGGTGTATAAAGTAATACACTGTTTGTTGTTTTGCTCAAATTAGGGGTGCAACAAATATTTGACTGATCATTTTGATTATTTGAAAATTGATGACCAAATTAGTTGGCAACTAATTTAGTAGTCGATTAGTTGGTGCTACCTTTACACGTCTTTCTCGCGCTCACTAGGAACATTTTGATGTGGCTGCCTCAAGAACACAATCCTCAAAAGTGAGGAGCTAAACTCGTCAGTTGTGCTGTTTGTAAAGCCAACCTCAGCTGGCACTGGAGCGCATCCTCCATGCTGGAGCATCTGAAGAGGAAACTTGTCGGCTCACTGGACGAAGAACACAGGAGAGCGTCTGAAAACTGTTTTCTGTTCCCCGTGAACGTTTGGCTCCACTCGCTAACAGTTTCAGGAGGTAGTTCTCAGCGGACACACAGGGCAGCTGGATGAAGGGTCACCGTTGAAATGAAATGTTTACACAAAGTCGCTCAAGTTTAACTGTTCATAGAGAAGTTTGCCACAATCATTCGCCACTTTCCCATCCGCTCCATCAGAGCACATCTGCTCTGCTGTGAGGAACAGCTGCTCTCAGAGGAGAGCGAGACTCTCACTGGAGCACGGAGAGACGCCGACTTTCCTCTGAGTCAAAAAAGACGTGACTGTAGAATTTAGTTTCAGCCGAGTGCAGACAGACAGCAGAATGCACAGAGCACAGACCGCACTGTTTAAATTTAACATCTAAATTTAGAGTTTTTTATGTACTTTTGGGTAGGTAGTTGGGTGGGTAGTTGGGTGGGTAGTTGGGTGGGTAGTTGGGTGGGTGGGTGGTTAGTTGGGTGGGTAGTTGGGTGGGTAGTTGGCTGGTTAGTTGGGTGGGTGGGTGTTTAGTTGGCTGGGTAGTTGGCTGGTTAGTTGGGTGGGTGGATGGGTAGTTGGGTGGGTAGTTAGGTGGTTAGTTGGGTGGTTAGTTGGGTGGTTAGTTGGGTGGTTAGTTGGGTGGGTGGGTGGGTAGTTGGCTGGGTAGTTGGGTGGGTAGTTGGCTGATAAGTTGGGTGGGTAGTTGGGTGGGTGGGTGTATAGGTAGTTGGGTGGGTGGGTGTATGGGTAGTTGGGTGGGTGGTTGGGATGGTGGGAAGTTGGGTGGGAAGTTGGGTGGGAAGTTGGGTGGGTGGGTGGGAAGTTGGGTTGTGGGTATTGGGGTGGGTATTGGGGTGGGTATTTGGGTGGGTCGGGTGGGTATTTGGGTGGGTATTTGGGTGGGTGGGTGGGAGGGATGGGAAGTTGGGTGGGGTGGGTAGTTGGGTGGGTGGGTGTCCGAATGTGCAGGTAGATTAAATAAACCTATGATTCAGCATAAGAGATTCAGTCCTCATCTCTCTTCTCTTCTGGCCCCACTGGGAAGAGCTGAACAGCCTAATGGCTCCAGGGACAGAGGATCTCCCGAGTCTGTCGGCTGAGCAGCTCGAGTGACTAAACGATTTCTCTGGTCTGATTAATGTCAACATTTCCAGAATCCTTTTTCTGCTCTCTTTAAAACGTCAACATTGTGTCAGTTCTCAAACTTTTATGTCTACATACCGAACATCTTGTAAACATTTACCTTTTAGTTGGTTAATACAACTGTTATGGATGCCAACAGGCAGCCTGGGTTGAAAGTTAGACAGACGTAACAACAACAATCAAAGAAGGCAGGACTTTCTCAGACTTCGGCAGAAGGTCAGTTGCAGACCTGTACGTTTTCCACCCTGACTTTCCAAGACGCAACATAACGAACACCCAAATAACGATTTCAGTACTCAGATGTCAGGAACGGTTAACTGAGTACTTGAGAACATCTGTACAATATATACCTTGCAGTACGAGGGCTTTGTACACAACTGGAACGCTGCAAAAAATGCATTAGGCTTCCTTGTCAGTAGCCAACACTGCAATCGCTGTCAAACATCTGGACACGTAGCGTTTATTTCAGTCTCTCAGAATAGGGCATGTGCACATGTTGAAATGTGGCATCACTGTACCAGGACAGGAAACCAAACCCACTGACCTTCTGCCCATGTCAGAGTGATGAGGGACTGTGTGACACAGAGAGAGAGAGATCCCGTGTGATGTGTGCTTGTGTCTCTTTGTCTTTGTCTCCCACGCCCATAGTTTCCTGTAAGCTTGTTTAAGGAAACTCAAGTTTTAAATAACTTTAGGAAACAAAATTCGCTAAGCTTAAGGTTTCCTCCTTTCAATGACGCATCATCGTTTTTCAAAAAGAGTCAAAACCAGACTAAAAACTGAAACTGATCTGCTCAAAATGATCAGGGATTGGTGTGGGATAGAAGATTAAGCCTAGCCTTAGGCTCAACTACACTAGCAGGGCAACTCTTCATTTAAAATCATGTCTTGTCTGGTACAAGTCTTACAATCTGGTATTAAATAAGACGTATTTGTCCAGATCGTTGCTCAAAGGTTTCAGAAATTTGAGTTAGAGATGGACATTCTGACTAACTGACATTTGAATGTTGAGAGTTTATGATATATGGTTACTTACAGGGGAAAAAATGAACTAAAAAGGGGGAAAATGGTCAAAAAATGTTTATTATTATTTATTTATTTAAAACGTTTATAAAACAATACATAAACATTAAAAACAAAGCCTAAAGATATCGGTTGGTTTTCATCTTGGATGACCAGAAGCTGCTCCTTCATGACCTAATGAGCAAACACTAACACGAACCAGCACAAGGTTGGACACGAATGAGGACTCGTGATCTTCTACACAAGGCCTTTTCTCCTCTGTGGACAATGTGCCGACATGTCAGAAAAACATTTATTTATTGTTTCTGGACTTCAACAGAAGTAGTTAGCGACAAAGGCACACCAGAGTACTGGCCATGTGATCTCTGCCTTCTCAGTCACGTAGCAAAGTATAATAAGTCACCTGGTTACAGTCCTGTTAAATCATAAAAACTCACGTCTTTGAGTTGTCAGCCTCAGGACGGGTTGTTAAAGGAGTGAGTGGTGTGATTGAGGTAGTGCTGCTAACTACGCAAATAATCTAGCTGACATTAGCTAAACTTTTATCACGTAAAAACAAATATCTACCATTTTTTTGGGTTGTTTCCCGTTCTTGCAGTAGTAAATGGTATGGCCAAAAAAATATATCATGGCACAATTTAGATTATTGGAGATTTATATATATATATATATATATATATATATATATATATATATATATATATATATATATATATATATATATATATATATTATATAGTGTATTTATGTGTTTTCTTCAAATAGAAGCATTTTGGATGCTTAAGTAAATGTATTTTATAGATTAACAGTGTCATATTCTTCACATTTAATAAGAACCACATCCAGCAACTGAAATAAATCTAAAATATTTTTATTGGGCCAAAGAATAAAAACAGAAATGGACAGTATGTAGACAAATGTCGATATTGCTTTTTAACCCTAACGAGACAGAGGAAAGTTCTCTAAGCTGGGAAAAATGCTGCTGTTTTACGCTCAGAAGTCATTAGTATCATACATGCGTCTCACTTACACTGGTACAAGTCTTACAATTTGCAAAAGACGTATTTGTCCAGATCGTTGCTCAAAGATTTCAGAAATGTGAGTTAGAGATGGACATTCTGACTAACTGAGATTAGAATGTAAAGAGTTTATGATATATGGTCATATATGTATGAGTTTATGATATATGGTCACTTCCAGGGGAAAAGAATTAACTAAAAAGGGGAAAAACAGTCAAGAACATTTCTAAACAATATTTAAATGTTTAAAAATAGCCTAGGGATATCGGTTGGTTTTCATCGTGGAGCGGCTTCTCTAAGCTGGGAAAAATGTTGCTGCTTTACACTCAGAAGTCATTAGTATCAGCACTATTTTTCAAAAAGAGTCAAAACCAGACTAAAAACTGAAACTGATCTGCTCAAAATGATCAGGGATTGGTGTGGGATAGAAGATTAAGCCTTGCCTTAGGCTCAACTACACTAGCAGGGCAACTCTTCATTTAAAATCATGTCTTGTCTGGTACAAGTCTTATAATCTGGTATTAAATAAGACGTATTTGTCCAGATCGTTGCTCAAAGATTTCAGAAATGTGAGTTAGAGATGGACATCCTGACTAACTGACATTTGAATGTTAAGAGTTAATGATATATGGTTACTTTCAGGGGAAAAAAATGAACTAAAAAGGGGGAAAATGGTCAAAAAATGTTTATTATTATTTATTTAAAAGTCATTAGTATCACACATGCGCCTCTTACACTTCAGGTTTTACCGACGACCGTCAGGCACTGCTGGCATTTGGTAAATATCATAAGCCATTCATGCTGGGAAGCCGCGGAGCCTTTCGGCTTGTAGCCCGAAACTGCGACGGGCCGAACAAGGGTCCCCGCAGACTCCATGCTAGACTAATGGCTAACAGCTAACCCCAAGAGACCGGCTTTTCCTTACACTTTCTTTTCCCCCTTTAACTCATTACATTCTGATGTTCGTTCCTTTGACAACAAACTGGACTAACTTAGTTCAGAGCGCAACTCGCCACACAGGAAGTGATGGAATTAATGTGTTTTACAATATCCGTACGCCGAGTTATCAGCATTTATTGGTGTCACACCTTTAAAAAGAACTTAATCAATACACTGGATAAACGGTTATATCCTCCACTGCTACTTCCTTGGGATTGATAAAATATCCACACCTTAAGTTTTATAGATACTCAGATAACAAAGCAAGTCAGAATGGCAGAGTTCACATGTTCAACATTGCAGAGGAGTCATCGGTGAGTCAGACTCAGATACAACCCACCACCATCAGAACCCCTGCAAAAAGCACTAAGAGAAGAGATAAAGTGACTCGAAAAACACTCTTTCAAAGAAAGGCTTCACTCTGTGCTTGACCCAGACTGGGTATCATGACCATGTGGCCAACCTACTGAATGTGGATTGTTAGAGGAGCCTGAATTTCAAATATGTATAATATCATTTATTTGGATATGTAGTCCTCACAGATTTAGCTGATGTTTTCACTTTTTCCTATTAAAATGTTTTTTAAAAGCCACTTAACATATCAAAGTGTTATGTTTTTGGATATTTTGCACTGGGGCATATTTTGAGGACATGCTGCAAAACTGCAACTGTGGGTTTTAAAAATTATATAAATTTCTTATTGTGATTTTGGGTTGAATTCAATCTGATATTAGCATCTTCATCAATATTCACAAAATGTACATCTGTAGTGATTTTTATCACCAAACATGTTTGGAATAATGGAAAACATCACTGCAAAGTAAACAAAAAAACAAAATGCAAAAATGTCAATAGAAGACAGATATGTTGTTTGATTTTTGCATGGTGTGAAATTCAAAATATTAAAAACTTTTAATCACAAATGATGCTTTGATTGACTTCAGAATGTGTCCTGTAGGGGTATGTGGTCTTATGGACACGTAATCAGACGTAGGCAAAAATAAAGAGCTTTAAACACTCAATTTTGCACCAGAGTGTCTCTGAGGGTTAAAACAGACAAAGCAGCAATACTGAATATATCATCATACCATCCAACCTGAAACTCACACATTTCTCAAAAGTCAGTCTGAAAACTAAACAAACGCATGAACGTCTGTCAGAGTAGTCGTAGGCCACGGTGTGCGGCTGGGGTTTACGAGTGGTTTGGAACGACTGGTGTGCTGCTGAGAGCTTTACCTTTGGTGAGCATTTGAAGTGCATGCCTGGAACAGGTAAGGTGGTGACATACATGGTCACACACCTGTAGAGGTACAGTGTTCCCACGATGAAGAAGAAACGGCGGCCAACTATGGACCTAAAGTACACAGAAAAACAGGAAGTGTTTTGCACACATTTTAAAACGCCCCTAAAGTCACAAAGACGCAGAAAAATAATTTGTGTAAAAAAATAAATCAATTAATTAATTAATTAATAATAATAATAATAATAATAATAATAATAATAATAATGCATGAAAGCAAAAATCCACGAATTATGCAAATTGCAAAAGCACAAAATAAGCTTCCACTTCAACTTTAATAATCAGAAAGATTGTCTTTCTGTCACCCAAGTACAATTCATTCAATTTCAGTCGCTCAGATTAGAGTCTTTATCCTCTAAACTTGCCTCAGTGCAGAGTCAGAGAGCTGGAACTGCAAGTAGTCTGGCAAGTAGATAAGGCTAGCTAAAACTAGCTTAAGCTAACAGCTCCACATACAAAAACGCAGGTTTATCCGCTCAGATCAGCCTTTATTCTCAAAACGTGCGTCAGTGAGGCTTCAGTGAGCCGGAATCAACCTGTTCTGTGGTGTATAAATAAACCTGTTCCATGCTAAGCTACTGCAGTAGCTACCTGCTGCGAGGACTTCTGGGCCTCGCCTCACGCCTCACGCCTCACGCCTCACGCCTCACAATTAGCGTTCTGGGCCAACAGCATAAAAAAAAACAAAAAACGAACATAAAATAAAGCCATTTATTCACACTTATCTCTGATTCTTTTTCTCATTAAACACAGTGCATATAAAAGCCAGACTGAGGTTAACCTCAGATTCTACTGATATGCCACTGATTTTGTCAGCCTGCTGTTTTAAAAAGAACTAAAAAGATAAAAAGATAAAAGGTGCTGGACAGACTGTAATACAGTGGTCTGTGTTTAAGCAGACTAACTCATGTTTGAGCAAACTCTGTGATGGGGTGGCCTGTGTTTTAAGAGACTGTTAGGGATTGGTCTGTGAGAAGACTCGGCCTGTGTTACAGACCGTCCTGCGTCTGAAGAGACGCCGTTACAGACCGTCCTGCGTCTGAAGAGACGCCGTTACAGACCGTCCTGCGTCTGAATGGACACCGTTTCAGAGCGTCCTGCGTCTGAAGAGACGCCGTTACAGACCGTCCTGCGTCTGAAGAGACGCCGTTACAGACCATCCTGCGTCTGAGCGGACGCCATTACAGACCGTCCTGCGTCTGAGCGGACGCCGTTACAGACTGTCCTGCGTCTGAACAGACACCGTTACAGACCATCCTGCATCTGAATGGACGCCGTTACAGACCGTCCTGCATCTGAAGAGACACCGTTACAGACTGTCCTGTGTCTGAAGAGACACTGTTACAGACCGTCCTCCGTCTGAACAGACGCCATTACAGACCGCCCTGCGTCTGAACAGACGCCGTTACAGACCGGCCTGTGTTTGTGTATGTTTAAGCAGACTCTGTTATAGACTGTCCTGTGTTTGAGTAAACTCTGTTATACTGAGTCACAACATTTCACACATACAGAGTCAAGAGTGTCCTAGTTAATCTGAAACAGAGTTATGGGGAAATTATTTTATTTGATAATATTAATCAGAAATATCAAAGCACATTTCTATTCCGCTGACAAAATGGCCACTAGGTGGCCTACAGAAAGAGGTTAAGCCATTATTATTGTTCTTATTATTTTTGTTATTATTATTTCTGTTATGATATATGATTTTATATTCTTACTGTACAGGAAACAGGACACGCATGTATAAAAATGAGTTCTGTGTCTGAAAAGGTTCGAGACCTACCTATGTTTGAGCAGGAGCCACTGTACGATCCACACTCCCACCAGCAGCATGCCGTTGATTTCGCAGATGGAGAAGGCCCACTGCACTCGGTCAAACAGGTCAAAGAACTTATCCGGCAGAGGTGGAGACTCCTCTTTGGATGGGACTCGCTCGTGCACCACCGAAATCACTACTGACGTTGTGACGAAGCAGCACAAGGCGTATATGAAGGCCACGGCCGTTTTAGACCATTCAGTCGGAAACGGAGAGCGCTCGTGCTCGGGAGGTAATGGGATTTGTATACGGACAGGCTCGGAATGGAATCCGTTTTTCGGCCCCCCGTTGAGGACCTTGCCGTTGCTAACGGTCCCGTTGCTGAGGGAGGTTCCCACGTGTCCGTTAGTATGGTGGCTGATGCCATGGTTACCATTCTTATGCACCTCCATGTGGTTAGCAATGCGTAGTGTCTCTACGCGCTCCAGCAGCTGATGTCCGTTGTCTGCTGTAACCAGCGACAGCGGAGGATTCCTGAAGTCCGATTCGGAGAGCTGTAGGAGAGCATGACCGTCCACATTCCGGAGGGCCTCGGAATATTCCGGCATGCCCTCCTCGGCCAGCCATTCGGACACCTCCGCCGCTGACCAGAGTCCCACCTCCTTCATGGCTGAAGAGGGTCAAGTCAGAGCAGGATGAGGGGCAGGTTGGGGGTGACTTTACAGTACACGCTCAGCAGTCTAGTCCCCAGAGAATAGTCATGTTGCCCCTGGGACACTGGAAGTGCAGTGCTGGGGCATTCGTTTTCTTACCCCCCCCACCCCGTTCAAAATTAGAAGTGATCAGAGATCTTTGTAAGGACTTGCAGCCTGATTCCTCTGGGAATTCCTTCAACAGGGGGGACCCAACACTGCAAAAACATACGAAGACAGTTTAGTTACATACATATACTTGGGGTGGACAATGAAAATGACAGGACTATGAAATCACTTCACGATAAACTTCTCTGAGTACATCATGGGCTCCCTAGTGGTGTCCAGGGTCTGCAGGTATGAACTGAGAACTGTCTAGCATAGTACATGAAACACTGAATTAAAAAACCATTGTAATAAAACTTATAGCATTTGATATATAACGAAATGTAAACAAAGTCATTCAGAGTAATTTGATGCAAAATGCGCAGTACAGAAACTTGCAATCTTGGATTTCTTTACAGTGGTGGTGATGGGAACCAGTGTCTCAATGTTTACTACACAAATATAGTCATTTTATTTACTATCCAAAATCAGAAAACCTTATCTCGCTTAAAAATGGTCAACTACCATTCACACCGTGTCAAATTTTCCATCATAAACATATTTAAAAATACATTTTAGGCCAAAACCTGATCAAAATTACTGTCAAACGACGTCTCAGGCATCAGGCAATGTATTGGTGAACATCTGATGTAATAGGCTTCTGTGAGGGAGCTTGTAAAACACACCACTTTGCTTTGTTTAAATCTTAACCGTTTCATAAAAGTTTCGTTTAAAAATATCACGGTATTCAATTTTTAACATACGGCCCATTGCTTAACACACACCACTACCACCGTGCAGTTAACGTGTCAAGAAAACGTCTTAGTGCTACATGAGAAAACAGTGACGAAGTGTGAATCTTCACCAATATATCCTGTGTGGTTAACACATCTAGAGCTTGTATCAGCATTATGACAATACTGTCTTGGTGGGGGAAGTAAATTATAGTTTATATTTATAGTTTATAGAGTTTAGGATTATAGTAATATGTGTTTAATCTCAAAACAACTGTCATAGATTATAAATTCATGTTCATGAAAATACGGTCGTGAAGAATGACGAGAGGTCGATTTTTCCAGTGGTAACCAGTGCAGTCATTACACTAGTAATCAAGTGATCTACTGACTCGAGTCTTTAATGGTGAACTGTGTTGATTTTTTTTTTTAAATGTCTGCATAGTTCACTTGTTTAGATGTAAACAAAGTCATTCAAACTAAATAGATGTAAAAAAGGACTTGCTGATAGGAAGCTGGGGTCTCAATGTCGGCAATGCAAACGCACCCATTTTATTTACTATCCAAAACGACCAGTGAACCTTCGTGTCTAAGTTTTATGTCTAATGTTGATGATGGCAAATTAATTAAGGGAAACTTGGGGGCTCTTAATGAGGAACTGGTATCCTTTTATATAGGCTGTGTGTTGGAACACATAACTATCCTCTGCCAGAGGTACAAAATGTGTCCAGATGCATTTGGGATTCTTCAGCTCTCTTATTTAGAGATGCAAACAGTTGTGCCTGCCAAAAAATCTGTACAAGCCGGACTTCAGAGACGCGCTACCTCCCCTCAGACGATTACAGGCCGCCAAACAAGGAACTCAGACAAGCTGGTCGTTCCAAGGCGCCGGATTGAGAGATACAGGAGATCATCAATAAATACATTATATATAAAGACTTAGAATTAGAATCACACACACACACACACACACACACACTTTGGACATCTGGTTTCTATCACCACCAGTGTAAACAACTGAGTCAGTATGTTGCTCTAGAATGAACCGTTTCCCATCGAAACACTATCAATGACTTTATATCTTAAGCATTTAATCACACAAAAATGTGGCAGAATTCCCCTTTAAGAAAAATACACAGTGTAACTGGAGTTAACTGAACAAAACCCAGGCCCAATAGCTTGACAAATACTGCAAAACACAACCCCATTTCCAAAAAAGTTGGGACACTGTGCAAAATGTAAATAAAAACAAAATGCAATGATGTGCAAATCATTTAAACTCTATATTTAATAGAAAATAGTACAAAGGCAACATTTCAAATGTTGAAACTGAGAAATTTTATTGTTTTTTGAAAAATATTTGCCCATTTTGAATTTGATGCCATAAACACATTCCAAAAAAATTGGGACGGGGCAACAAAAGGCTGGTAAAGTTGTCTAATGCTAAAACACCTGGTGGTTGATTGACAACAGGTCAGTAACATGACTGGGTCTAAAAGAGCATCTCAGAGAGGCGGAGTCTTTCAGAAGTAAAGATGAGGAGGGGTTCACCACTCTGTGAAAGACTGCACGATCAAATAGTGCAACAATTCAAGCATAAAGTTTCTCAACATAAAACAGCAAAGAACTTCTTTTTTCATCATCTACGGTACAAAATATCATTAAAAGATTCAGAGAATCTGGAGAAATCTCTGTATGTAAGGGACAAGGCCAAAAACCAGTATTTGCTGGCCGTGATCTTTGGGCCCTCAGGTGGCACTGCGTTAAAAACAGACATGATTCTGTAGTGGAAATCACTGCATGAGCTCAGAAACACTTCTGAAAAACACTGTCTGTGAAAACAGCTCATCACTGCATCCACAAATGCTAATTAAAACTCTAAAACGCAAAGAAGGAAACGATCTGTCACCACTGAAAACATCTGGCGCATTATGAAATGAAAAATATGATAAATGAGACTCTGAACTGATGAGCAGCTGAAATCCTGTATCAAACAAGAACACTTACAGAGTGTTGTTAAAAGAAGAGGTGTTGAAACACAGTGGTAAACAGGCCCCCGTCCCAACTTTTTTGGAACGCGTTGTTGGCATCAAATTCAAAATGGGCAAATATTTTTCAAAAAAACAATAAAATTTCTCAGTTTCAACATCTGATATGTCGTCTTTGTAACACTGTCCTTTAAAAATATGATTTAAAAGATTTGCAGATCATTGTATCCTATTTTTATTTACATTCTCCACAGCGTCCCAACTTTTTTGGAAATGGGGATGTACATCACTGGAGTAAAAATATGCTAGAAAGCCTTTAAAAAATTAATTAAATTGAAACGAACAAACCAACCACAAATATGGCACACACTTTGTGGCAAAAAGGTGTATAACGTCGCTGTCCAATGAAAACCTACATCTCCATTTTCGTCGATTTTTAGTTTTCTACATCATTTCAACACACCAGCTGCTTCATAATGAATGGACCAATAGAAATGCTCTAAAGTCACCTGGAGGAAAATCTCTTTACATTGACTTACATTGAAAGATAAGAGTGTTTTTATCTTCTTCTGTAACGACAACGACGGCAAATAGGTATACTGGTCTCTGCTTCTTATTGTAAGAGAGACCTGTAGGAGAACTTAAACCATGCACTATGACCACACACTCATTACCAAGTAATCACTGCAGATTCACTATAAAGACAATTTTATTTATTTTTTCTGTGACTTTAATTGATTAATTGTGACAGCCCTATGGCTGACTATGAACTCTCTATTCTTGTGCAACAAATGCAATGCACACACAGAGTGCATAGCTGTTTGTGTGGCATTGCATTTGTTGACTGGCTTGTACTAAAGCTGTGACAGGAGACAAAAGTCAAGGCCATCTAACAAAGCAAACCACAGACCAACCACACAGCTGTCACACACACTAATGCAGCCCATGACCAATTATGCTGATCCTCACAACTTACCACTTTAACACAAGGGGACTTTCACTGATTCCTCCAATGTTCTGTACTATTAACTCGCTTTAATGCAAACAGAGTCGTTCGGAGCGGTTTGGTGAGAAAAGCTCCGTTATAGAGAAATTTACAGAGACACAGTGTTCACAGTGGTGGTGATAGGAACCAGACGGCTGAAGAGCTGAAAGCCTACAAAAATTTCTCACAGGAAGTTACTACATTAAATGGTTCTGTCATTATGTTGGCAATCAAGTGATCTACTGACTCGAGCCTTTAAAGATGAACTGTGTTGATTTTTCTAAATGTCTGCATAATTCACTTGTTTAGATGTAAACAAAGTCATTCAAACTAAATAGAAGTAAAACACCTGGTCACTGTCACTGCATTCACAAATGCAAGTTAAAACTCTAAAACGCAAAGAAGAAACTGTACATTAACAGGATCCAGAAACGCTGCCGCCTTCTCTGGGCCCGAGCTCATTTAAAATGGACTGAGGGGAAGTGGAAAAGTGTCCTGTTATCAGTGCACAGTTCAAAAGCCAGTATTCATGATGGTATAGGGGGGCATTAGTGCACACAGCATGGGTAGGAAGGCACCATTAATGCTGAACGATATATACATGTTTTGGCAACAGATGCTGCCATCCAGACGACGTCTTTTTCAGGGAAGGCCTTGATTATTTCAGCAAGACAATGTCAAACCACATTCTGCATGTATTACAGCAGCATTGCTCCGTATTAAAAGAGTCCGGGTGCTAAACTGACCTGCCTGCAGTCCAGACCTGTCACCACTGAAAACATTCGGCACATTATGAATGAAAAATATGACAAATGAGACTCTGAACTGTTGAGCAGCTGAAATTCTATATCAAACAAGAATGGGAAACATTTCACTTCACAAAACTACAGCAGTGTCTCCTCAGTTCCCAAACGCTTACAGGGTGTTGTTAAAGAAGAGGTGATGAAACACAGTGGTAAACAGGCCACGCCCCAACTTTTTTGGAACGTGTTCTTGGCATCAAATTCAAAATGGGCAAATATTTAAAAAAAACAATAAAATTTCTCAGTTTCAACATCTGATATGTTGTCTTTGTGCTATTTTTAAGGAAGTATTTTTTGGAAATGGGGGCTGAACTTTGTTTACATCTCACCTATTGAATTGTTCAGATGGTCTGAAAAGTCAGTAGAAATCCCCTTGAAGGGTCAGCAATATTAAGACCCCCCGTCACAGCAACAAGTTAGTTTTTGAGGATACCTTAAGAAAACTGTATTAGATCAGTAACTGATCTAACACCGGCTGTCTTAGCAGCAGTGCAGTGTACTGTGTGTTATCTGTCAATGTCAGGTGGAAGAACATTTTCACTTTTTTTAATATAAATATTTGTCTGAATCCCTAATTTTATCCCCTTTTTAGCAACAGCCACT